CTCTGTCCGAGATGTCGCAACATTAGTGGAGCGAAGAATGACAGCAACATAAGAGCTCGGAGGCTGCGCGGATTCCTCGGATCGGCGCTGGACCCCCGTCCCTGGCGCGTGGAGCGCGCCCGGGGCGGCGCTGGAGGCGCCGCCAGGGGGGCCCAGCGCGGATCCGAGAAGTCCGCGCGGACCTCCGAGTTTTCATGTTTCTGTCATTGCTCGCTCCCCTAAACCTGCCCGGCGCGTTTGGGCAGCAGCACCGCCCTGGAGACCTTGCTCGCTCCGTGCCGCCCCATCCCGCGCCCGCGGCACCCCGACGGAGGCCCCCACCCGCGCCAGCGCCGGGCGCTTCCCCGCGGGCGGCGCCTGGCATGTCGGGGAGGCGACGCCCGCGAGAGGAGGGGCGCAGAGGGGACAGCTCTCAGACCCCTCAAGGCGCGGGCGCGCGAGAGCGCCCAGGCTTCCTGGACGTTTTTTCCCCAAGCGACCTGTGCTGTGGGGTCCCCGTTTGGAAGAGATGGTCCCCGCGTCTCCTCCCTCCTCCCTCCTCCTCTTCCTCCTCCTCCTCCTTTCTCCTCCTCCTCTTCCTCCTCCTCCTTCCTCCTTCCTCTTCCTCCTCCTCTTCCTCCTCCTCCTCCGCCGTACCCATTTCGGCCCACGCCTCACGAGGATCGTAGCCCCGGAGGGATCGCTCCAGCGGCAGGGGTTCCATGGGGGCTCCACACCCGTTTCGGTACACCCCTCACGAGGATCGTGGCCCCGTAGGGAGCTCCACAGAAGGCTCCAGTCGCAGGGGGTCCATGGGGGCTCGCACCCGTTTCGGTACACCCATCACGAGGATCGTGGCCCCGTAGGGAGCTCCACAGAAGGCTCCAGTCGCAGGGGCTACATGGGGCTCCACACCCATTTCGATACACCCCTCACGAGGATCGTGGCCTCGTAGGGAGCTCCACAGAAGGCTCCAGTGGCAGGGGTTGCATGGGGGCTCCGCACCCATTTCGGTACACCTCTCATTGATCCTGGCCCCGTCGGGAGCTCCACTGCACACCGGCGAAGGATGAGGAGGAATGGGATGAGAAGGAGAAGCAACAGAAGGAGGAGGAGGAGGAGGAGGAGGAGGAGGAGGAGGAGGGCGGGAGAGGGAACCTGAAAGATACTCCGCGTCCAGCGGCGGGAGAGGAAACATGGAAAGCTTCTCTGTCCACTCTCTCTCTCTCTCTCTCTCTCTCTCTCTCTCTCTTCATATATATATATATATATATATATATATCCCTCTGTGTTTTTGTTTTCGAGTTCGGTTTTTCTCCTGATCAGATGTGTGCCAGTTTTCGGGGTTCTCGCTGTTCTGGGCACGCGGCGCCCGCCTGGGGCCCTCGGGACCCTCAGAAACCGCACCACGGCAAAAAACACTGCCCGCCCCGCACACGCCCCGCGGCCTCCTCTAAGGAGAGCTGTCGACGGCCACAGCGGCCGTCCTCGCATGCGTCTCCCCACAGCCCGCGTGCGGTTCCCGCCCCATCTTGGCACACCCCACCACGCGGTTCGCCCGCCTCACGCGGTGTGCGGGCCCCATGGGGAGTCCCCCCTCGATCGTCCCGCCTGCCCTGCGGTGCTCACAACTGCGTAGGCTTGGGTCCTTAGCCAGGCTAATTCTGCTTCCCCGCGAGGATTCACCACAGGGCGGGTGCGGCCGACAGCACCTCCACGAAGAAGAGCACGAGCAGCGCCAGGAGGACGAGCAGGAACATCCGGTGGAACACAAACTTCGGACCGACCCCATGTCAACGTCTTACAAGTGCGTGGGGGCATGACGAAGCCCACCCCGAGCAGCACGGAAACGACAGTCGGCGATCCACGGCGTGCACGACGCGCAAGCAGTTGCAGGCCCAGCACAAGCACGGCGTAGTCCAGTGAAGTTGAGTTCCCGGACGGGGGGTGTGGCGCCTAGGACTCATGTAGAGTGTTTGGAAGACTTTGCTTAGCCTCCGGGGAGGATGAGGAAGGTGTGAGGAGGAGGAAGAGGAGGAGGAGGAGGAGGAGGAGGTGGAGGAGGAGGAGGAGGAGGAGGCGACTGAGGATCTCCGTCCGGGCAGATGGGGCCGGAGGGGCCTTCGATGCGGCTCCGCCGGGGTGCTTGGCTTGCTGGCGCAGCCCCTGCCCGACGGCGGTGCTCCAGGATGCGTAGCTGCCCCCTCCACCGCGCGGCCCCGGAGAGGCCCCGGCCGCTCTCCTGCAGGGGGGGGGCTGCTCGCCCGGGGTCCCGTCTTGCTCGCCGCAGGGCCCGACGGCGGGCCCCATGGGTCAGGGGCAACGACAGGGGGGGATAGGCAGGCATAGGGGGGGGGATGCATCGACCCCGGGTCGCCCATTGATCGCCGATAGGGGTTTGATAGCCCCAACCCTCCCAGGAAGGTGCGGACTCACCATCGGGGGCCTATCGCCGATCTGTCGGCGATGTGTCGCCGATTCCAGGTCGATGCATCCCCCCCTATGCCAGTCCCCCCCTATCGTTGCCCCGACATGGGGCCAGAGGATTCCATGGCGCCTCTCCTTACTTCATCACGTTCCTGGCCCGCCCCCCCCCCCTGGGCCGCGCACATGCCGCCGGCCATGATTTGCGCACCCCCCTCTTGGACGCCCCCCTCTTGGCCGTCCCCGACATGGGGCCAGAGGAGAAGCAGGGGCCACCGCCACCGCGAGCCCGTCGGGGGGAGGGAGGGGGGGGAGGGAGCGGCCCTTGGGCGGTGGCACGCCCGAGCGCCGTCCAGCACTCGGGCGATGCGCGGGCGTCCCACGGTCCAGGGTCGGCCCCCCTCTCCCGATGGGGGGTTTCGGACGCCCGAAATGGGTACGGGAAGAATGGGCACAATGCCCAACAGCAA